TTGTCATCAGTGTATGTTCCCATACAATTGCAAAATTGGCTCTCTGCATTTAACCCGTCCACCCGAGATGGGGTAGAGGCAGAGCAGCCGACCCAGGACCTGAAAGCCCAAGGTTTGATCCCCAATCATTGCACATCTCGTGGCATCTCTGAGCAGCACACCCTATCCCCAAATGCTCCCCAGGTGCTTTCAATAGCTGCCCACTGTACCACCTGAGGGATCGCTGAACCCAAAACATTTGAAAACCCCTGCTATATGCAACAATAACACCAGATATAAATTTTTTTATAATACTTTGGCCTAGGCTTTTCTTTAAGGAATGCTGGTTGTATCCTGAGTTTAGAGTCATTCAGCCAACTGACCCTGAACTGATCAAATAAATTATTTAACCAGCGCAGGCGCAGTTCAGTAAGTCATGCATTTGACTTTACTGTGAATTACACCCAACATGATGTGTTGTATGCTTGTTTTTACAGCTCAGAGCCATAGCATAAAAGCAACTGTACTGTATATTTATCTCTCCATCAGTAGTAAATAGAGAAGGACTCAATATGCATTGGTGCAAGCATGCAGAGAGTGTTGGGGGAATGAACAATAACATGAGGCAGGGTACATGGCAAGGAAGATAGTAGACCCGTGGGACACACATCCAATGTGCTGTAAACTATAATGGCTCAATTACAGGCAGATTTCTAATTTCCACGATGCTCAAGCCATATCTCATCTACCACCATGACAATCCCACTGAGACCCAGACAAGCCAGAACAGCATACTCAGCATAGGAGGAGGGGTGGAGAACCTGGTGGGGTAGTTTGGAGAGAATAAAAGATGTGATGAATTTAAACACAAATTATTTAGAAAATAACTCAACTTGATTCAATACTGGTCCATGTGAACAAAATATTTAGAAATTTAATTTGACCTCTTATTTGTATTTCCCTATTTGTGTTGTCACCGTGAAAATATAGGTCATGAGATGTGTGCACAAAATAGTGCCCATTAGTGCCGTTGAGATAATGCTAAATTAATGAAGACTGGCTTTGGCACAGGGAATAGACACACCCAAGATCAACCATCTTTTGAGTTCCCCATGGCCTCAGAGGTCCATATGTTCTCATGTTCATACAAAAAATGATACAA